GGGTCCAATCATACAACTGTAAGATTTTAGCCTTTTGTAGTTATAAACGAAATATTACAAACGAGTGGCTGACGTGGTCGACATAGTGGCGGAAATTGGTTCGAGAAATGGCGCGCACAGTCTGCCGTAAACAACCGTTTGCCCCAGCTCCCCTGCCCTCGAACCATTGAGGCGCACGTCAGAGTGCGTCCGCCAAGTAAACTGGACCCCTTGGTCAATATCCGCCGGAAACAACACCCCCCTAGCTTCCCCCTTCCTCCCGCTTTCCAAGGTCCTAAAAAACTACGGATTCCACCTGCTTCGTGCCATTCGCACCAGTAAACTGCCAACCCTAGACCAACACCCCACTCCATCCCGTAAATGGCCAATTACTAGGCTGATTTTGAACCCAAAAATATGCTAAGTCCTCGCCGCTCCTTTTTGGCGGATTGGATTTTTTCTGATGGCGATCTACATGCAGCTATATATACAAATTCATATTTGAACATCGTGATCCACCTTAAGTTATTTTTGTTACTTGTCTTGACTCTTCTTATGATCGTTTGTTTTCCCTTGCTTGCCTTTATGCCCCTCAAGGGCATGAGGGTGTGTCAAATGTTATATGAGTTTGTTTGGCTACATCGAGTTGCGTTGTTTAGGGTACAAGTCTACAAGACCTTCTAGGTTTCATATTTGAGCCCATCTCGTTGTCGAACTTAAAGTAGATTAAGTTGAAAGGTGAGGGGCCTAGGCTTAGTAGCCTAGGCCCTTAACTAGGTATCGAGCGGGTTTTCACCTAGGGTGAGTGTCGAGTGAGTTGTGAGAGAGAAATTGGAGAATGGGGTTTCACTATAGGATTCGAGATACATATAGCAAAGGAACACATGAAGGGGTGCACCACCTACAAATTTAATAACTACACTACAGCTAGAACTTCATGCGGTTATAATAAATATGATTTTGACACTCGTGCTAGTCACAATCATTCCGCCAACGCCCGTGCTAGCATTTGGGGCACCCTGAGGCCTCAGGGCACTTTTCTGGAATCTTAAAAAATGCACTAATTTGTCAAGGCAAATTTTCAAAACCATTTTGTATGTTCAGGGCTTCTGCAGAAATCAATCATGACCTGTTAGGGCACAAAACATGTGTTCAAGGTTCAGAACTTAACACACACCAGACCAGACCAGACTCTGCTGAGCAGAGCAGAGCAGAGGAGAGCAGAGCAGCACATACAGTTGGAGTTTTATCACTAAATTAACTCCTACACCTCCTCTTAGCCCTCCTCCTCCTCATCATCATCATCGGTGCTGCTACTAAACCGACTTTCATTGCTGCTGCTGCTGCCATGTTCGGTATCCACTTCTTGTCCATCCTCCAACACGTTCCTCTTTCCTTCCGCACTCACTGGCTTGTGCCTCTGCTTCTCCCTTCTCCTAATAGGCCTCCTCTTCTTGCTGCTGCGCTACAAATCAACAACTTTACCCCATTCCATGTCATACTCAACCAGGCTCATGCACATCAGGTCACTGAGTCTAGCATCACAGAGGCTGGTCCTCTGCCATGACTTAATCATGTTCTGGCGGCTAAAGCCGCGCTCACACTCGACGGTTTTGAGCGGCAGGACAGCCACCGTCCAGAGGCGGACGAGGTTGCAGTAGCTCCGTTCCCAGTCCTTCGTTTTCAGCATGGCCGTCAGGTCGCGTTGAAAAGTGCGCTCGCCTTGAGGACTGCCAGCCAGGACAGGGACGAATATCCTCAGTTCCCTCTTGGCAGCATGCTTGTCCACACCTGCCACGCATTACACACAGAACAAGGACAGAAGAAGGCGGATTCTGGTTATTCACAGAGCAGGGACAGAACAAGGCAGTTTCTAGTTATACACACAGCAATGACAGATTAAGGCAGATTCTGGATTTACACAGACCAAGGACACAACAACGCAGATTTTGGATTTACAAATAGTAGGGACAGAACAAGGCAGATTCTGGATTTACACAGAGCAGGGACAGAACAATGCAGATTCTGGATTGACACAAAGCAGGGACAGAACAATGCAGATTCTGGACAAAGGATAGAATGGGTAAGGCGATCTAGATGTGCTTACCTGGGAGAATGTTTGCTCGCTCGCAGGCATGGAACAGGTCGACGAGAGTCTCGAAGTGCTCGAGGCACTCCTCAGCGCGTCTCTCCTTGTCATCAGGGTACGTGTTTGGCATAAAAAGCCTGACACCGTTCAGGCTATCGAGATCCCCCAGCCTCGACTGGAGGTGGCTGAGCGTTGACTTGGCGTGGCGGCGGCAGACGTCGAGGCACGACTGCAAGTCATCGGGGGTCTTGCTGTAGCCCGTCAATGCCTCCTCGTGCAGCTCGAAGCTATGTTTTCGCGGCCGCCCCTCCTTGTCCACGCCATCCACCGTGACTTTTCGAGACTTACTGAGCATGGCTAGGAAGGCCCCGAGATGTTGTTGTGGGCCGCCACTGAAGTCATCGCCGCACTCAATGTAGCGCGTACGGATGGTGATCAAGGTGCGGTGCATGGTCGCCTGCACCAATGTCATGTCGACCTGCCACATGACAAGGTATAGTTTCAACAAGGGCGGGGAGAGAAAGGGGAGAAGCAAGGAGGACGGGGCAGAGAAGGGACAGAGGAAAGGGTGAGTCGGGGAGGGAGAAGGGGGAGATGCGGGGCAAGGAGGCTACGTTTGCATGCAACCTCAGGCTCGGTGCAAAAGGCAAGGCTCCAGTGCGCACTGATTGCCAGCAGCACAGGAAATTTCCCCCGGTTATTAGAGAGACAAGGCCGGGAGGGAAGGCCGGGAGGGAAGGCCAGGGAGACAAGGCAGGGGAGGGAAGGCCGGGGAGACAAGGCCGGGGAGGGAAGGCCGGGGAGGGAAGGCCGGGGAGACAAGGCCGGGGAGGGAAGGCCGGAGAGGGGAGGCCGGGGAGGGAAGGCCGGGGAGGGAAGGCCGAGGAGGGAAGCGGGGGCAACTCACCACCCGCTTCTGAAACTCCAGGTTGAGGTTGTTGAGGATGATGAGCATGTTGGCGAGGTATTAGAGATACACATTGAACATCACAGAAGTCACAATGGGGTAGAAATCGTCGTCCCACCCTCACAGGAGCGCAATGACGGCAGGGAGCACTCGCACCAAGCGCGCAATGGCATCGCCTCGGCTCAGCCAACGAACTGCGTGAATTCTTTGCAGTTCAAGGTTTGTCTGGCAGAACACAACCTGCAGCTCTTTGAACTCATTGTTAGTGGAATGCGACCCTCCCGGGTACTCCGCGAGTTCTTTCAGCATGGTGTCGATTAGGCCCAGCTCAGGGACTACAGTGGCGGCGTCCTTGGCTGCCATCGCCTCTCTGCGCAACATGATGTGGGCACGAGAGAAGGGAGGGTGACAGGGAGAGAAGGGGCCACGGGTTTGAGGAGGGAGGCGTTGCCTCGAATGTTTCTGTGGGCCATTGATGTCCGTCGGGGGGGGAGGGAAAGGAGGGGGGAAACAAAATGGGTGAGGAATGGCATGAGCTGGTGATCATGTGAGCGCCTACCTGCCTTGCTGTTTCTGCGCAATGTGATGGGCATTCAGATGCAACACACACAGGCAATGAGTGTTACTCGCCGATGTGCAATGCAATGGCTGGAGAAGAGGTGCGGAACCCGTACACGGAGGCGAGCCACCAGCCCGTTTGTGCTACCCATCATCGCCCCTACGCCATCTGTGCTAATCCCAGCCATCCTGCTTGTGTCAACACCAAGTGAGTCAAGGTTTGTCAGCAACAAGGAAAGCAACGAAGCGCCATCACAGTTCTCCACCGTCAGTAGCCCGATGAACTCCGTGACTACACGAGAGTTACAGAGAAACGTGGCAAACACGATCTGGTGTTTGCCGCGCACACGATCCTTACTCTCGTCACATGCTAGTCCGATAAATGGACTAAACTGCAACCAGACGTCCTCTCGTCACGGTCCTAGTACTACTGGCTCTATGCGGATGCGTATGGTAGGTTCCGTAGGACTATCTCGACAGAAAGACAAGCGCGACTGTTTGTGCTAAGTCGCTTTTAACTTAGCACTAGCGGCAGGGCCGATCCGTGTTGCACCTAGTCGTAAAACATTGGTGGGGATTGTACTAGCACGGGGCGGTATTATTACTTGAGTTGGAGATGAACTAGCAGTGGGTGAAACTTCCGGTAAGGTGGATACGGTTTGGGCAGGACGGAAGAACTCTAATCCTGTCAAACCCTGTGCTCGACTAGTTAAGACCGGGTTTTGCCCTTATATCCTGGGGCCTGCATTCCGCTACGCACGATTCTGAGACGTTGTCCAACATCGAAGTTGTTCAAATGATCTGGTTGGTAGATAAGAACTATAACGTCAATATGTTTTAGTGTTATTTCGACCAATGACAAACATGGTGTAATGATTTACAAATCCTTACTGAGGCACTCGTTAGCAAGGCCATCCCGAGGGTCACGCGACGAACATGTTGGGCCTACTTCGTCGCACCGAACCACCCCCGAGTCGGCCACCGCTCCAATCGCAACCATCACCGAGCCATCCCTTCCCGAACCCCCCGCCTAGCTAGGACTTCCCCTATTTAGGTCTCGTCACTTTCCTTGTATCGTCATTCTGTAGCTCAACATTCTCGTTATTCGTTTTACTGCGCACTCTGCAAGTTCACTCATAACACATGGAGTGTAATACAGTAACACACTAAAAAGATAAAGCAACACAATTAAGGTACAACAAAAGATTTAAAGAACAAAGACATCGTTTTGAAATGTCATTGTAGTGCAATCGAACCGTATCGTCACGAATGCCTCGTAGCGCGCGCCCTTACACCCATCTGTAACAATGAAATGACAACCATTGAAAAAAATGCCCATCATGGCCACGTTTAGGGCAACTTTTCCGAGTCGCCAGAGTCGAAAGCCACCTACAAGTAACTCTGTTGTAAGTATCGCGGAAGCAACCTTGCAGAAGCCTCCCTTTTCATGCCGTTCGAGCCCTGCCGTTATTGGGATGGGGCAGGAAGGACGGGAAGGGACGGGAAGGGACGGGAAGGGGCGGAAAGGGAGGGAAAGGAACGGGAACGGACAGGAACGGACGGGAACGGGCGGGAACGGGCGGGAAGGGGCAGGAAGGGACGGGAAGCGATGGGAAGGGACGGGAAGGCACGGGAAGGGACGGGAAGGGACGGAAAGGGGCAAGAAGGACGGGAAATGACGGGAAGGGGCAGGAAGGGGCGGGAAGGGGCGGGAAGGGACGGGAAGGGACGGGGAGGGACAGCAAGGGGCGGGGAGGGTTGGGAAGGGGATGGGAGGACGGAACGGTGCGGGGACAGGAGGGAAGTGATTGGGAAGGGGGGAACGGAAGAGATTAGGGAGTTTGAGAGACGGGAAGGGTTGGGACGGAACGGGAAAGGACGGGAAAAGGAGGGACACAACACGGCGGGACGGGAATGGTGGGGAGAAGAGGGGAAAGGGACAGTGCTGGGGGGAGGGTGGTGTGCAGAAAATAGAGGTATGCACACAAGGTCTCCCTTTCCGCCCCATCCCCCACCCCCTTTTCCCTTCCCCCTATCCTCCTTTCCTTCTCCCCAACTATTGTTTCTTCCCACCATCCCCCATCCTCAACCACCCAGGCCATGCTAGTCCCAACCTATACCGCATGCTGCTGCAGCACGGCAGGCAATACGTGCTGCTGTGGTTGCTTGCTCAACTTCCAGCTCCAGCCCTCCCTCTCCACGCCCTCTTCTGAACCTGAACGCAAACCACTTTGTCCGTCTCCCCTCTCTCCACAAAAGCAGTTCGTGTGACTCCAACCTTGCTGATGACGACATAGCAGCGCCGAGTTTCTTTCTGGGCTGCGAGCGAATGGCTGACTACGTCCGGAACCCCGCGTTCGCGCCAGTTGTCGCTCTGCTGCTGGTCGCTGCCGTGCAACTCACCTCCTCCGCCACTTTTCGTTTCAAACCTCCGGAGCCTCTTTCAGGTGTGCGACCCTCTCAGGTGTGCGACCCTCTCAGGTGTGCGACCCTCTCAGGTGTCCTTCTCTTTCCGCGTGTCGCATGCAACGTCCGTGCTCACCCTGGCCTCACGCGAGTCTCCCCATCCTCTGCTTCCCCTCGCTGCACCTCTCCAACAGAGAGCGGATTGCATCCACCGTTACTCCCTCCCTCACCTCGCCTTCCTTGGCTCTGCCTCTCCTCCTGCCCTGCCTGCCTCTGCCCTTCCTCACCCTCCTCGCCTCCTCTGCTCCCTTTGCTTCCTCATCTTTCCCCATCTTCCCCCTCCCTCTCATCTCTCCCCCTTTCTAAGCAGGCCCGGTGCGCATCAACTGTGGCAGCAGCGAGGCGCTGACTATCAACGGCCGCCACTGGCAGGCCGACGCCTTCTACGACGCGGGGCAGCCCTTCCGCATCCCCCCCTCCCCTCCCCTCTCCTCCCATCGCCTCGCCTCGCCCGTCGAAGCCACCCTGCGCGCGTTCCCGGACGTGAACAGCAACGGCGGCTGCTACACCGTCCCTCTCCCCCGTGACGCGCGCTACCTGGTGCGCGTGGGCGTGGCCTACCGCAACTACGATGGCGCCCACCGCTCGCCCGCCTTCCACATCGCGGTGAACGGGCTCATCCTCAGGACGGTGGTGATGGGCGTCTCGGAGCAGCAGTACCCGCTCTCCGCCTTCTACTCCGAGTTTGTCGCCTTCGCCCACCAGGGCCGCATCGCCATGTGCGTGCTGCCGCTGCTGGGCGTGGTGTCGGCGCCCCCCCAGGTGAACTCGCTGGAGCTGCTGCCCGTGCACCCCCTCGCGTACGATGGCGCGGTGACAGGCAGGGACGTGGTGGTGGTGCCGCTTCTGCGCCACAACCTGGGCGCGGGGGGGATGGTGGGTGGTGGGCCAGAAGGCGGGGCAAGGGGCGGGGTCCCTTCGGTGCAGGAAGACAGGATGGGAGGGGGGAGGTGGGAGAGAGCAGTGGGAGGGACAGTGGGGAGGGTGGCGGAACTGGAAGGTGAAGAGGCGGAAGCAGCGAATGGGGGAGGGGTGGAAGGAAGGGGACGGAAGGTGGGGCGGGCAGGTGCATTGGCGGTGGGGGAGAGGGGGTTGCTGGAGGAGGGGGCGGGGAAGGAGCAAGAGGGCGGAATGGGGGAGGTGGGATGGGCGGAGGAGGACAGCGCATACAGGGTGTGGGGGCGCGACTTAGCTCCTGCATGGGGCGCCGTGCCTCGTACCGTGGCTCTGCAGTCGCATGTTAGTAGTGGTGCCATTGGTGGCAGCAACAGCAGCAGCAGCAGCAGTAGCGTTGGGACGAATTCAAACGTGACGGGTAGCAGGAATTGGGTTGCACGTGGGCATCCGTTCAAAGTGGTAACCACATCCCGGCGCATTGCTGGTGCTGACGTGGCACCGGACTACATTCCTTCCACAGTGTTCCAGTCGGCGTGGGAGGGAGCAGTGGAGGAGAGGGCAGGCCAGGGGCGAGAGAAAAGTGGGGGGGAGCAGGCGGAGTGGGGGGGCAGGAGAGGAGGAGGGCTGGTGTGCTGGGCCAACAGCACCAGAGGTGGCGGCAGCAGCAGTGGGTCGTCAGAGACATGCGTGGGGTCGGTGGGGTTTGCGGTGCGTCTAGATCCGGTGAATCTGCTGGACGTGCTCTGCCTGCGCCTCTTCTTCGCTGAGATCGACCCCCTCGTGCGCCCCGGTGACCGGCGCTTCGACATCCGGCTGGGCGCCATGAGCGTGCTGGGCGTGGGGTGGGGGCAGGGGCAGGGGGAGGGGGAGGAGGAGTATGAGGGGGAGGGGGAGGAGGAGAAGGAGTTGGGGGACGAGAAAGGGGAAGAGGAGGGAGGAGATGAGCGGAAGGGATGGAAGTGGGGCAATACAAACGGCGGAGGGAATACGGCGGAGAGGGGAGAGGAGGGAGGAGAGGAGGGAATGATGAGGGAGAGGGAAATGGATGAGGAGGAGAGAGCAGGGACTGAGGGAGGCACAGCAAGTGGTAAGGGCGAGGCAGCAAGCAGCAGAGGCGCGGTTAGATGGCTGGGGCGCGGGGAGAGGCTTCAACGGCTGAGCGCTGGCATGGGCATGGAGGGGAGTGATGTGGAGGTGAATGCAGGGAGGGCAGTTGGCGAAGAGGAGGGCGCAGGGGAGGAGGAAGTAACGGAAGGGCACATGATGGGCACTGGGAGGGGGAGCGATGAGGATGCAAGAAATATCAGAAGAAAGCTTTTTGGGGAATGGAAAGGAATCAGAGGAAGCAGGAATAGTGTTTGGGGGAATGAGGGTAGTGAGAGCAAGGGAAAGAATCAGCACTCCTCTAGGGCATGGAGGAGGAAGGGCGAGAGTGGAGGGGAGGGGACGAGGAGGGGAAGGAGGAGGAGGGTGGGAGTGGAGCACATAGCACACACGGGGCTGGACGGGCGGAAGCCAGTGGTGCATGGCAACGTAGTGCTGGACGCCGTCAAGAGCATCAGTGAGAGCGGCGAGTTCGACACGGGTGGCGGCGTGGGCACGCCTGTCAACTGGTACCGCACCTTCCTCGACTTCCGCCTCCGTGACTTCCTCTTCGGTCCGCAGCCCCGCCCCTGGAAGCAGGAGCGCCAGCAGCTGCTGCGTTCCAAGCAACCACAGGTGGCGGGGCGCTGGGAGGGGCAGCGGGAGAAGCAGGCGGAGGAGCAGATGGAGGAGGAGGAGGATGTGTTTGATCGCAGCAACCCGCTGTTTGCGCGGGACTGGAGCAGCACAGGCTTTGACATCCTGGTGGCGGCCAACGGGTCGCACGACCGCGCGGTGGTGGTGGCGGTGTGCTTCAACTTCACGCGCTATGCGGAGCAGTACGGCCCCGGCCTCGCCCTGCTGCTCTCCCCCATGCGCGGCTCCAAGAGGCCGCCGCTGCTGGCGGGCGTGGAGGTGGTGGAGATGGTGAGAACGCCCCCTGCCGGCCACGTGCCCCGCGGTGAGCACTGCCTTGCTGTGCATGCACACCACATGCACTTGGACATGCACATCCACATGCACATGCACTTGGGCATGCAAATCCACATGCAAATCCACATGCAAATCCACATACAAATCCATATGCAAATCCACATGCAAATCCACATGCAAATCCACATGCAAATCCACATGCAAATCCACATGCAAATGCACATGCAAATCCACATGCAAATCCACATGCAAATCCACATGCACATCCACATGCACATCCACATGCACATCCACATGCACATCCACATGCACATCCACATGCACATCCACATGCACATGCACATCCCATGTCAGGTCAGCATCACCATCGCTTGGAGGACGGTTGTGTTTACCACACCACAGGCGCCTAATGAGCCATGGACTCAAAGGGGTGTGTGTCTGAAGGGGTTTGTGCTGGAAGGGGTGTGCCTAACGGTGGCTCCATTTCCCACCCTCTCCCCTGCCTTACTCCGCCTGCTGTCATGCTTTTTGCTGCCAGGCAGCAGTGGGACCATTATCATGCACTCACACGTCGCACCCATGTCTCTTGCAGCCGCCTTTCGTCCCTTACCTCTTCCGTCGCCAAGCTACCTACCAGGCAGCATTGCAGCCATGTTGTACATCTCGCCCTTGCCTACCCGCTCTCTTCGTGTCTCTCCACCTCCCCTCCTGCCCGCCCCCACAGGCTACCTGCCCAACGACATAGCAGCCGTGATAGTGCTGCTCGCCCTCGCCTACATCGCCCTCAAGCTCGCCCCGCACTGCCGCGCCTCCACCTCTCATTTCCCCTACGCATGCATTCCCTTCACACAACTCCTCTCAGGACCAGCTAAAGGTGAGACTGCGCAGTTGCACTGAGTTTGCATGCATGCTGCCGTGCCATGGGCTGGGATGGCAACTGGCACTAGTCCTCCAGCTCCGTTGTTCCGGGAATGGAGACACAAGCCTGGCTAGTCTCTTTTGGAGCGTGTTTCAAGAATCTGACATCACGCGCATCATGCTGAACTGCATTCAACCAGATACGGGGTTGTAGCAACGGCTCACAACGTCGAGCGACCTCTCACGACTAAACCCGATATTTTTTTTTTTTTTCGCTGTTGCTCTCATTTGTCCCTCCTTTTCTTTCTGCTCTTGTTACAGACCAGCACAGCCAATGACTGCAAGTCTGCAAGTGTTGCAACTGCAATAACTGACTTGTTTTCAGCACGGGAGTTGTTGCCAATTCTGGCACGAAACACACTCATGCGATACTTCAGTGGGGAGTGCGATCCGTCTTGCGGACGAGGAATTCAGTCCGCCGAGATCCCTAGGGGTGGCAAATCCGATGGCTCAGAATTTTCTCAGGATCGGCGAGGCTCTTATACATGACACTTCACCGAGGGTGAGCGATAGCGCGACAGTTGGCGTGTGGTCGGGATGTAAGGTCGAAGGAGGCTGACGTGGAATGACGGGCTGATGTACCCGTCGGTGTGTAGCGAGAGGTGGGTTGTGACGGGCGTGATGGCTAAAATGGGCCACAGTTGCACGGGCGAAGTTTCAGCATGTTGTGGGTGTCAAGCAGAACATAATCTCCTGACTGGTACCGTATCACCCCGGAAATAAGCGCAGGCCTATGTTAAGCGCATGCGCTTATATCTGGAGCAATGCGCTTATGGCCGATCCTCGATTATAAGCGCACCCCCTGTAAAACCTTGAATTATTATAAGCGCATCAATAATTCTACAGTTAAATCCTAATTAATACAGTAACGATTTCCCTTTTGCAGCGAGTCCAAATCCGTTTCTACTTGGTTTGACTCGCTCGAGGCGAGCGATTGCAGGAGAAAGAAGCGAAACGGCGTGATGACTGACTGACAGCACATCGTTGGGAGGGGGGGGGGGGGAGGGAAGATGGGCGTTGGAAACGACTGTCCTGTGCGTTGTGCGAGAAAAAAAGGGGCAGGCGGGGGGGCTCGGGAACGACTATGCCTCTGCGCTGCGAGCAAGCGACTCCGTGCGACTGGCTCGTACATTGGTTCGGGGCGAGCTTGACACATCCCTCTGCGCTGTGACGTGTCCTCGCCCCTATACGGCAGCAGAAATCGCCCTCGCGCGATTCTCTGATTTGGGACGCTGTAATGTTCTGATTCGATTGAAATTGCACGTCTGAGATGTACAGTTTGGTGAATTTAAAACATATTTATGTAATTGTCATATTATAAGCGCATGCGCTTATAATTCTGACTCAATTAGAAGCGCACCCCCCCAAAAAACACTGTTTTATTATAAGCGCACCTGCGCTTTTATCCGGGGTAATACGGTACGTCAAGGGGCGGCGATGAGGACAGGGAGGGAGGACATTAGTTTTAAAGCCAGTTTAAATATCGAATTACGGTTTTCAGTGTTATTTTTCTGACAGAAAAAACCCCGGGGTCTGCAATTTCAGACAATTATTTGTTTCTATGTTCTTTGTGTAATTTTGTTCTTGTGTAAGAGAATCGAGACCCCCTTTGAACTTTCAAAGTGAAGCTTATGTTATATAGGATCCACGGGACTGACTACCAGTAGGTTCTTTGACATCAACGATTGCGATTGCTTCTTCGTTCTAGTTTGCGTCAGGTTTGGTGGGTGTTATGAGTGCAATTGAGTGAGCGAGAGAGAATTGCACTATCGAAGCAAGAGTAAAATGAGCGAAGGCATGAGTGAAGAATTAGCGAAACGGTAATGGTTATGTGTAAAAAGTGGGGTGCGCGATGTGTGAAACTGAATGAACGGGAGTGAATGACTATGAAATGAAGTGGGTACAAATAGGAAACCCTAATTGGGTTGTACCCCCTATGGGATACCCCACTATAGCCTACAGAAACAAGTAAGCTATATGTTCTGACACACCCCCATAGGCAAAGTGGGGGAGAACAAGGGGTCACAAGACCAGTTAAGCAAAGCAAAGCAAAGCTCAGGGTGGATCACAAAGTCACCACGCATTCCGAGCACAAGTTCAAAGGCCAGAAGGCCAGTTTACATGCAAGATCATATATAGAGATATACAAGAATCAAGCAAGCAAGAGCAAGAGTATATATAGGCGAAGGTACAAGCAAGGTCAAGAGGAGAGCAAGTGAGGCAAGACAGCCACAAGACCCAACTGCGTGCAACAACGCTGATGATCACAAGGCGCAAGTGCCTTGGTGAACACATCAGCAGTGTTGGCCTCAGAGGCCACGTACGCAAGTCGTAGCTGTCCACGCTGCTATAGCTCACGAGCAAGAAAGTAGCGGAGAGCAATGTGCTTCGTTCTGTGCTCCAGTCGCTGCTCTCGACACAAGGCCAACATGGCCTTGTTGTCTACGTACAGGACTGGAGGAGAACGAGGCTGCTCTCCAAGGTCGGTCAGCAGGTAGGTGAGCCAGCGTAACTCCTGTGCAGCCATAGCCCCAGCGTAGATCTCAGCCTCACAACTGGAGCCGAGAACAGAAGACGAGCGGGTAGCCCGCCACGAGACAGAGCCGGAACCTAGGCTGAAGGTGTAACCCTGTGACGACCGCTGCGTAGCCTGGTCGTCAGCCCAAGAAGCGTCTGCGTGCCCAGTGAGGACCACTGGACTGCGCCCTCCAAGCACTAGCCCCATGCCCGACGTACTGCACAAGTAGCGCAACACCCTCTTCGCTGCAGCCATGTGCTCTGGTCGGTGTCTCCCAGGAGCAACAAAGCGTGCGAGAATGCTAAGAGGGTATGCGAGGTCAGGTCGTGTGCAGGTCATCAGGTACATGAGGCAGCCAACAAGCTCTGCAAACGGGCCACTCGACTCTACGGACTCATCCGAAGGCAGAGCTGAGAGCGAGTGGCGAGTAGGCAGAGGAGTGGCCTGAGGCGAGGAGTACGTGAAGCCGAAGCGCTGAAGGACCTGCTGCACCATGTGTGACTAAGTCAGGGTAATGGTGCGGCGTGCTCTGTCCCGGGTGATCTGCAAGCCAAGGTAGCTGCGCAGTTCACCCAGGTCAGTGCACGTGTGTCTCTTCTGCAGCTCGGACTTCACATAGGCGAGTCCAGCAGTGTCAGCTGTGGCAAAGACCAAGTCGTCGACGTACACGAGGATGTAGAACGGCGGCAGAGAGGTGTCGGTGCGAAGAAACAGCGACGGGTCGGCAGTAGAAGGAGCAAACCCAAGTGCCGCGAGCGTAGTCCTCAGTGTGTCGTGCCACTCACGTGGCGCCTGGCGGAGACCGTAGACTGGACGCCGGAGACTCCACTGGGTACCAGGAGGGAAAGACCCAGTGAAGCCAGGTGGGCGACGCAGCCAGATCTCCTCGTGCAGGCTGCCCTGCAAGAAAGCAGTGCTGAAGTCAAGAGAGTGCAGCTCGTAGTCACGGTGAGCAGCAACGTGCAGCAGAACCCGAAGAGTGGTCATCTTCGGGGTGGGGGAGAAGGTCTGAAAGTAGTCAACCCCCTGCCGCTGACTGAAGCCACGAGCCACGTAACGCGCCTTGAAGACAGGCGGAGAACCCGGCGGCCGCTTCACCCTGAAAATCCACATGCCACTGACGATGTTCGCCCCAGGAGGGGGAACAGCGTCAACGTAGGTGCCTGTGGACTTCCAGGAAGCCATCTCTGCATCCATAGCTGCCTGCCACTGAGAGGAGTTGGGACCCTCTATCGCCTCCGCGTAAGAGCGCGGAGTCGGGATGTCTGGTGCATCCGGGTCTCCCTCAGGGGCTAGCAGTACAGACGCAAGACGAGGTGAAGCAGCGGCTAGACACTGGAACTCCTCCTGCCTGTCCTCAAGGACGTCCGTGCCAAGGGCACACTCACCCCCGACGGACGGAGGACAGGCGGACTCAGACTCAGTGACAAGACGAGCAGCGTAGTCTAGACGACAGCGCGCAGCAAAGTCGACAAGCTCAGTGACAAGGGCAGACGCAGCAGACGACTCGAAGAAAGGGTCAGTGACAGCAGTAGCAAGGAGACGCGTGACAGTAGGACTGGCAGCGCGAAGAGAGTCCGACTCAGGGTCGGCAAGAGCAGGAAGAGAAGAAGCAGGAGGAGAAGGCAAAGGGGCACGCAGAGGAGCAGTGGACGGACGCAGTGACATCCGGTGCGTGCCAAGGACAGGAGGAGGACGCTGACGCGAACCACGACCACTAGCGCGCTCAGTACGAACAGGCGACGCAGGACGAGACGCAGGCTCACGACGCTCAGTAAGACCTCCAGTCGGACCAGCGTAGGGAGAAGGAGCAGGCAAAGGGGAGGCAGGCTGTAGCTGTGGCTGTGACCGAACAGGCTGCGGACCCTCTAAGGGAGCAGGAGGAGGTGCAAGACCAAGAACCTGCTGCAGGAGCGGAACGAAGTACGGTCGGGGCCGCGCGGCGACACCAGAAACAGCAGGAACAGCAGCAGCAGCCCCGTCCGGAGCACCCACTCCAGCAGCACCTCCAGCAGAACCACCAGAAGCTCCAGAACCTCCAGCAGCAGCACCAGGAACATTGTCAGTCGGACCGCCAACCGCAGGCTCAGCGCCAACACCCTTAGCAGGACCAGCTCCAGGAGAACTCTCAGACCCAACAGCTCCAGCACCCACAGTACAAGCACCGCCAGGACGCGTGGCAGCAGTACCCTCTGCAGCCGAAGAACCACCAGCACCAGCAGCACGCCTCCAGCGCCTGGCAAACCACTCACGCAGCTCCTGTGGGGGGAGTGGCTCTCGGCGAGACGAAGCACCCCCAGGCACAGCACCCCCAGGCTCAGCACCCCCAGGCTTAGCACCCCGAGGCACAGCACCCCCAGGCTCAGCACCCCCAGGCTCAGCACCCCCAGGCTCAGCACCCCCAGGCTCAATACCCCCAGGCTCAGCACCCCCAGACTCCGCACCCCCAGGCTCAGCTCCCGCAGCAGCACCAGAGTCACCAGTGACCTCGACAGGCTCGACCGCGTCTACCTGGGACACACCTGAAGGGGCAGGACCCTGAGGGGGGAGGGGGACTACCCGGGGGGGACCTGGTACCAAGAAGAGCGGGGGCGGGGGGAGGGACGGAGTGCGGTAGGGGAAGAGGCGGTAGTAGGGTACCGACTCGTCGAACGTGACGTCCTGGGAGGACAGAACACGTCAAGAGGTGGGGTGGTAAAACTGCCACCCAGGGGCGTCGGGGGGGAACCCCAGGAAGACGCAGGGAGAAGCACGAGGGGA